TCTTCCTGAAACTGTAAGGACTCTGTTGCTGCTTATGCATTATGGGTCTTAACTGTCTTTCCCTCGGTGGGAATAATTTTTGACCCTTCCCATGCCACAGAGCTGCATAAGGGTCCAGGATGATGGGAAGGCACTGGGCATAGCTTGAAATAATACATAGGGTGCCCACAACGCAGCCCTGTGGATCTGAGTAAGAACAGCCCCAGTACGGCACAGTCACACCCCACAACCCCCAGGGTGAAGGCCAGAAGCGGGACTAGACACCATACACGATCAGGGAGACTCCCAGCAGGGCCAAACCCTATGATCCTGGTCCTGCTGTTTAAAATGCTCACAAATAACCCCAGAGGAAGCTGGGTCAGAGCACAACAGAGACTGGGCCCATAGAGCTTTCTTCTTTCTCTCTCTTTCTCAATTTCCTTCTCCCTCTGAATCAGTGCCAGCTTTATGTATGTATGTATGTATGTATGTATGTATGTATGTATGTATTTATTTATTTATTTATTTATACTGGAGGGTGGAGGAGGAAGAGAGAGAATCCCAAGCAGGTTCTATGCTCAGCACAGAGCCCAACATGGGGCTCGATCTCACGACCCTGAGATCATGACCTGAGCCGAAATCTAGAATTGGACGCTTAACCAACTGAGCCACCTGAATCAGTGCTTTAGAGTCACTCTAACTGCATTAGCTGCTCCAGAAGCTCTCCTATAGAAGCTAAGAACATAGAACAGCTTGATGCCCAAATTGCCCAGTTGCCCACACCCTGCTTCCCACGAGGTGTCTGGACTTGGATAGGGCTGTGCAGGGGACACAATACCCACAAAGAAAATGTGAAAGGAAATTTTCCATTCCTCTCCTCAACCTAGAGGAATCCCCTCTGGGCTCAATCAATGCTTAATAAATGCAAAAATGAATGCAGATAACTCACCCCCTGCTGAGAGGGGATCATGCCCATGACAATTCTTGATAATCTTGAAATCTTGAGATATATACAACAATTATTTTAGTAGCTACAATCTTCTGTCTCTCCCCCCCCGCCAAAAACAAATGAAGCTGCTGAAGGATCACAGACATTGATTAAAGATGTATGCAGAGATTTAGACATGAAGATGTTTACTAACACTGTCAGTTATACCAGAAAACTGGAAACAACCTCAATGCCCAATAATGTTCAACTACATTATGGTGCACCCATACAGTAGAATACTGTGCAGCTACTAAACATCATGTCAAAAAGCAGATGAAATAACATACTATTAAAAGGAAGAAGCAAGTTAAAAAAGCAGAATGCAACACACACAAAGAGGAAAGTTTTTCAAAAGATGTGTTTACACTTATTGTAACTAGTGCAATTATGAACAGATTTTTAATTTTTCTACAGTGATACTTTTGAAATAAGGGATGGAGGACAATGAAAACTTATTTTTGCTAGCCAGAAAGAGAGAGGAAACGCCCCCTCTTTCAAGGCTGTCTTCAGGCACCTTGCTCTGCCAGATGGATATGAAGCCAGTTCTGACCCCACTGTCCAGCTTGCCTAGAGCCCCATGAAGGCTGCCTTGCTCTGGGCAGAACTTCCTTGTTGCCAGGATCCACCTCGAGACAAGTTATTTAAAATGGGGCTGTCCTGGCCAACCTCTCATCTCAAAATACCAAGGGCTACTTCAGCCTAGAAAAAAATGGCAGTGCCAGAGCCCTGTGGTGTTTTGAAGCAGAGTAGCAGCCCTAGCGTATGAGAGGAACCTCCTTCCCCTCTCCAGGCTGCTTGCCCAAAGGTTTACAGACAGCTCCCTTTCCATCCCATGAGAGGAGACAGGCAGATGAGTCATAGCACTGGCTTAGATTAAAGGAGTATTATTGTGTTCACAGAAATGGATCTGTTTTATTATCCGTTTCTTGACACCTTACATATAGATAGGCTTTTCCTACCAGACGAGTAAGTTCCTTAAAATCCAACGACTTCCTTAGCTAAAGCTAAGGAATGACCAATGAGACTTAGAAACTCGTGTGTCTGAAAAGCAGCCAGGCTGAAAAGATGTAGTGGAAACACTGAGGAAAGTGGTTTATAACCCTCAGACTCTAGATTCAATTCAATTCTAGTGATGCCATTCTTCTAAAAATACACAGAGGAACTACGGAAATCCTTTCCTCTTTTCTAAGAGCGTTTCCTTTCCTTCTTTTTCTTTTTAAAGAAATATAGTAGGATTGGTTTGTAAAGGAGATTCACCACCTCAGATTTCACTGTTTTCGTGGGGGTGATGGTTGTGAGATACTATTTTAAGGACTTCCTTCTCTTATACAGATTTTTCCACACTGGGAGGACAGATAAGGTATGTTCCACTAACGTTCTTCATTAAACACACATGCACGCCAGCAGTCATTTCCCTTTGTCTTGCTATCCCATGACAACAGATTGCATATCATAGGAAACTGGAATGGAGACCTTATTTGGTTTGGATCTCTCTTCTCCATTGTTTAATTCCACATTCAATTTTTCATTCTAGGTCTGCCTCTTTTTTTTTTTTTTTTTTTTTGCAGAAATATACTATGACTGAATATAGGAACAAACAAATGAATAGGTGTTGTTTTTCTGGACTCACATTATACACTTTTCAGAAGCACTTTGACCAGCATCCCCCGCCCCCAGCATTTTATCTCTGGGCTGAATGTATTAGTTATTCAGTAAAGATCCAATGACTTGATGGGCGTATATGTATCATGTGTGCTCCATACCTTGTTTATTGTTAACCAAGTTCCAGTAGTGAGCTTCCCTATTTCCTTTATAGGTGTGATGTACAGATACCTCCGTGGGATTCTGTCTCTCTCACCCTTCAACCTAGACCACCTGTCCATTAAAACAAACAAATAAACAAACAATCATTAAAAAGCTTCTACCAAGTTCTGGGAAAGGAGGTGTAAGGGAACAGGGAAAGTTTCACGTTTCCTGTTGTTGAATCTAGGCTTGGCTTTCAAAGGAAGCTGGATGTCTTTTCAATCTAATATACTCTGTTCTCTGATGCCACCATCCTTGATTTTCCTTAAGAATGCAAAGCTATGGGGCACCTGGATGGCTCAGTCAGTTAGGCATCCGACTTGATTTCAGCTCAGGTCACCATCCAGCCTTGCCTGGAGCTCTGCACTCAAAACAGGGTCTGCTTGGGATTCTCTCTCCCTCAGCCCCTCCCCCCACTGGCAAGCACTCTAAATAAATAAATAAATAAATAAATAAATAAATAAATTTTTTAAATCTCAAAAAAAAAAAGCAAAACTATGGTGGCAAACTTTTTAAAGGATGCCAGCTATTTATTTTTTGAGTATCAACTTTTATACAAATGTTGCCATTACTTTTTTTCTTTTCATTTAAAAATGTGATTTTAAAATATTTTTTCTAAATGGGACCCATTAGATCTGAGAAGTAATGTTCTTCCCACTTATCAGACATTAACTGTGTGTCAGGCATTGAGGAATAGCTTTCCACACTCATTATTTCATTTACTCCCTCACACCCACCCTATGAAGGAGATGCCAACACATGAGGAAACTGAGAGAGGTTAAGCCATTTGCCCAAGATCACACATCTAGTATGGGACTCTTTTGACTGTTCCACAGAAACCCATCCAACTTTTGTCAACTAGAGCCCATGAGTTTGGCCATCTAGAAAATGTTTTCTGAGGACGCAAAGTAGAACTATATTTGTACTCTGTGAAACCCATACCTTCACTGAAGGAGGCGGCCCTCAGGTAGCCAAGAGGCCAAACTGACTTGTGACACTATACCCTAACAGATAGGAGCAGGTGTGGACATCAGGTAAGCCTGATTTCAAGTCCCAGCTCACCCACCTACTGGACGCGTGACCACAAGAAAATTATTTGTTCTCCCTGAAATCCGGCTTCCACATGTATAAAATGGGGATAGCAATATAGGTCGAATTCTATGAAATTGCCAACTTCCAGCTATTTTTGAACTCCAAAAAAGCATCTGCACGTAGTTCAACCCAAACTCTTCACTGGGTCACTGTACAGATTAAACAAATGCACACAGGAAACAATTAAATGGCGTTTTAGTGGACTTTCTCCTCCTGACTTCATTTTGCTCACGTCAATAAAGTTAGTTTGCTTTTTCTGTGGCACTTTATATACAGAGAAGCTGGCCTGAAGTTACGTAAGTGTTGGGAGTTGATAATTCGGGGAGACAGTAAGAATGCATGGATCCTTGACAATTAACCCACAATCTCCTGATCTCCTGAGGCCTTACTGCTCCTGCTCAAGGCGTTTCCCCCCTTCGTTTTGTCTCTTAATTACTGAGTAAATTCACAAATACCTCTTTTTAGAAAGTAAAAGGGTAGGGGCTTTGGAGCATGTTGCACACTCCTTGTTAAGACGAGGTTGAAAATTCCCTTCTTGGCCCGAGTCGGTGGGCGCGAAGTGGCGCGGCCGCGGCGGGCAAGGCGTGTCCTCGGCGCGCGACGGCTCCCTGCTCGGCACCGCCCGCCCGCCCGCCCCGCCCCGCCCTCCCCGCCCCGCCCCGCCCGCCCCGCCCACGCGGGGAAGAAGCGCCGCCGGAGCGAGCGTACCTGCCGAGCGCTGTTCACTTCCTCGCCAGGTGTCAGGCCCTGCGCTCGCCTCCTCACGTGCATTCTTATTTCCTCCCCCACAACATTCCCGGTACAAGGCAACTGTCATTTCCCCATCTGCCAAGTGAGGAAACACCTCAGGGAGAGTGAGTCTCTCGTCCCAGGTCCCCGCGCGGTGGACTCGGACTCCAACCCGGGCAGCCCCGGGACTCCCACACGGAACCTCTCTTTTGCCTTTTTGGGTAGAGGCGCTTTGTCGCCTCAAAAGCCTCCCAACTTGGCCATCCGCAAGAGACCGCGCTCGGCCTCGCCGACCGGCAGGACCTCGCCGCGCGCCTCAACTCCAGGGCGCCGGGCGCGGGGCGCGGGTAGGAGGAGCGGCACCGCCCCCGGGGTATTTAAGCCCCGTCTGGAGCCCGCGGGGCCGGACGCTCCCGCTCCTCCCAGCTCGCACCTCCCCCTCCCCCTCCCCGCTCTCTCCCCGCGCGCCCCCACCGTCCGCCCCGCGCTCGCCTGGCGCGCAGGCATCGGCCGGCAGGGCGCGGGGAGCGGGGCGCGGGCGGCGCTCGCCTCTGCGGAGCCGCCCCCCGGCCGCCGCCGCCGCGCATTGCCCAGCCCGTGCCGCCAGGGCTGTCGCCGCCGGCTGCCCGCTCCGAGTACGCCGCGGCAGCGGGAGCCCGGACGCCGGCCCCGAGCGCCCCGCAGACGGGCGGGCGGCTGTGGACGTCCGGCCAGCAGCCCGCAGCATGGATTCGGATTCCGGCGAGCAGAGTGAGGGCGAACCCGTGACCGCGGCAGGTACCGAGGGGCCGCGGCAGCCCAGCCGGGAGGGCCGGGGCCGGGAGGAGGGGAGGCCGGGGCAGGAAATCGCGAGTATTTCTCGGAGCTGCCGGGCGGGAGGCCGAGCCCTTCCAGGCCAGGACCCGGGATTGCTCCGCGCTCTGAGTTTGCTGTGAGTCTTTCCACTGCACTTCGGCGCGCGGGAGGGAGAAGAGGTTCGTCTGCGGGTGGCTCTCCGCGCAGCTGCGTCCTGCAGCGGGCTCGGGTCGCCCGGGCTGGGTGGGGGTGGGGAAGGGTTCGGGAAATCCGCGTCCTGTAGTTTGCTGCAGCGAGGGTTGCAACACATCTGCCCTTTGAAATAACTTTCCGAGCGCCGACCCCGTCCTCGAACCCGGGCGCCAGGGACGCTGCGGAACAGGTGACCCGGTCGAAGGCGTGACAGGGGACTCCGGGAAGGAAAGGACCCGCGGGTGGACGGGCAGAGGTCAAACCACAGCTAGGGGCTGCGGTCCCCGAGGCGGTGCAGAGGGGTTCGTCCATCGCTGCCCGGTACAGGCAGAGGAGGTCCCGGCGGAGGGGTCCGAGAACACAGCCGCGGGGGCGGGGGGGAGGGGGCGCGGGAGCCGGGCTTCGCCTTTAAGAGGCGCCGCCGGTTTTTCACAATCGATAGTTATCGAAGCAATTGGTGGATGCTTACTTTGGAAAAAAATGAACGTCCTCCCCCGCCTCTTCCTGATACTGAGCAACGGGAGGAAGCCACCCACAGCCTTGGGTCTACTTAACGGCTGGGCTCTGCCCACCTCCACAGGCCGGCTCCACCCGCCGCCCACGGGCCCACACACCGGAGACCTGATCGCCCTCCCCACCTGTCCCCGGCTCCCGGGACCCTAGGGGCCCTGAAGGCTAGCCGCGGCCGGCCGGCAGACATGTGACCTGAGGGCTGGGACCCTCCTGGTACAGACCCGAGGTCCTAGACTAGTCCCCACTCTTCCCTATGTCACACCAGCATCTTGAGAGTGGGGACCAAGTGCCAGGAGGCACTATCAGCCCAGGCGTGGGCTCAGGAACCAGGCAGAACAGCGCCAGGCACTGTGCCAAAGGCCCTACATAGATGATTCCCCTTAATCTTCACAGCATCTAGCCAGGTGGTCATTAGTTCCATTTTACAGAAGCCCAGAGAGGCTAAGTGGCTTACCCATGTCTCACAGCAGGGAGTAGCCAAGGTCTACTTGAAGGATAGGATTCCCTATCTACTATACAGTACCCCTCAGCCTCTCGCAGGGCGGCTGTGGTCAATACCTTTTTGAGTGGGGGGGAAGAAATGAGGCTGGCCAAGAGGAAGGGTGGCATTACCAAGATGCCTGTGTTGAGGATTCCCGTTTGTGTGCAAGGGCCACCTCCTTTGTGCGGTAGGTGTGGAGATAACTAACCTGAGCCCTTTGCCTACTTGTATGTTTCTGTGGCTAGGAAGCACCAAGATTTTGTTTCACAGGGGTCTTGCGGATCTCCTAACATCTTTTTAAAGTTCCAGTTTGTGTGTGTATCTAAGTATACCTGGAGGGGCGCCTGGGTGGCTCAGTCGTTAAGCATCCGCCTTCTGCTCAGGTCATGATCCCAGGGTCCTAGCCCCGCATTAGGCTCCCTGCTGGGGGCGGGGAGCTGCTTCTCTCTTTCCCACTCCCCCTGCTTGTGTTCCCTCTCTCACTGTCTCTCTCTCTGTCAAAAAATAAAATCTTTTTTTAAAAAAGTGTATCTGGAAAACTGGGGTGTGGTGGGGGGGGGCTGCTGACCTTGACACTTTACTGTCTCAAAATCCCAGGAACTAACATGCTGTCCCCACCCCACCCTCAGATCTCTTATGCAGGTTGATGTTTGAAGGAGAGGAGAAGGAAGCTTAGAGAAAGAGGAGGGAGGAGAAGAAGGGGGAGGAGATACTCCAGAAGAGTTGGTGCTTGGGTGAAAGGGGAGGGAAGGAGTTCTCAAGGGTCCTGTTTCTTCTCCCCCAAGCCTGCCCAGCCCAGAGTATCCCGGATGTGTGCATGTCCATTTGTGTCAGGCCTCTGCACTGACCACTGAGGTCAGATGGGTCCTGTGAAGAATAGGACAGCCAACTCTGTGAGCTGTCACCATGTGTTTGCACCTTGCTGTTTTCTACAGTCATTTCTTCTTTTCTGTGTGCGCATGAATCTCCCAAGCTGAACATTTAATTGACTATCACGAGCCATTCTTCTAAATGGCATTCCATCTCATTATTCTCAGTCTTAAACTATTTTTCGTGGCAAAGCTTCAGAACTAGATGCTAATTCATTGCCTTGCTGTAGCTGCATCCTGTCAAATGGAAACCCTTGTTGCAACTTCAGATACAGGTTAAATGACAGGTATGTTATCCTTAGGGGTTGACCTTTCTCTAAGGAATGAGGCCTTCATCTGTGGACCTGTATCTGTGCAAGCTGGATGCATTTGTAACTGGGGACAACAGAGAAGTGGGACCTCTTCGAGTATTCATCGTGTGTGTGTGTGTACCTACCTCTTAGGGAGTTGAGATGTAAGGGCTGCATCCTCCTGAGTGGCCTTCCCTTCTTGAACTTGCAAAAAAAAAAAAAAAAGCCCTGCCATGACATGTACCCTATTAAGGTCAAGAGCCTGGACTCTGGAATCAGAAAGACCTAGGTTTCATTCTCTACCTGTTGGGCAAGTTACTTAACCTCTCCAAACCTGTTTCTCCCTCTGTAAAATGGGGATAGTACTAGTACCACGAGGAGGTTGTGAGGATTAAATAAAACACCACATGAAAAGTGTTCCCGGTAATCATTCAGTACATGGTAGCTGCTATGTTGTTTATCACCTGACTGGATTATTTGTTATAAGAATACTGCTAAATAATATACCCCAGTGCTTTATAAAATGTAGATCAGTAGGCATGTGTAACACAATTAGTATTATTGTCATTATTATCATATTAATGTAATTGCCTGAGCAGGTTTGTTTTGAATTTTCTCTTTTTCATTCTCTCATTCTCTCTGGGGTATGTGTGTGGGTGTGTGGGTGTACACGCAGGTGTGTTTGTATGTGTGTTTGTTTGTTGGTTTGGAGGAGGTTATCTTTACCTCTTCTTATCCTCCTCATCTGCCAGCTCAAGGCATGAAGATGAGGACATTCAAAACTACTATTTTCACACCCCTTTTCCTTTAGCTCTAGGTAAAGTTGTACAAAGCAGAGAACCCCTTATCCAACCCACCGGCTAACTTGGAGATAACCACTTTCATGCCATTTCAAATAAAAGAAGAGAAGGTAACCCTTCCCAACCAGTGAACCATTTTCCTTCAAGGTAGCAGTAGGCCCAGGAAGTCCTCATCATTCCCCTTCCATTTTTACCCATCTCAGTCACCTTCCCAGTTACAAATTGGCAGAAGAGTGAGAAAGTCTCCGAGGACCACCTGCTCTTTACTATACCCCTTTCAAGAGACTTTTCCGAAGATCTCCCCAGTGCCTGCAGTGCACTCATCAAGCAATGCAGCCCTCTGCATATGAAGGTGAAGGGGGGAGATGAAATTTGTCTCGAGCTGCATTTTCTGTTTTTCCGGAAGCATAGGATGATGCTTCTATGTCATTCTGCTGCCTGAAACTCTACTCTGCCTTTCTGTCATTTGGGGTTCTTTCTATGATTAGGAAAGAGGCAGGGTTTATGGAACACTGGATTCATTCCAGAGACCCAACTTGGCAGTCTATCGTTTGGCAAACCCACCATCCATCTCTCAGAAATCCTAGCACTTGGTATATTAACTTGACAGTGATTAAGAGTCTTTCCTAAGAAGCAACAAGTGAGTAAACATTAGCAGTGTCAGCTTTTTCCCTTTTTGGCTTTTAAGACAAAGATAGTCTACCCAGCTGAGGGCAAACAAGCTCCTTCCACCCACAGCTAGATGGTCCAGGGCATTCAAGCTGGTGGGGCTTCACAGCTGGGCAAGTGCTACAGAAAAGCATTTCCATGCAATGGAGTCGAGATGTGGTAGGGGAGCTTCAAAACAGTAAAAGAAATGGGAAAAAAAGCAGGCCCCTAACCCTGCCTTTGCCATCTCTCCCATCGCCTAGGTCCTAAGCTTGGTTCATGGGAACAAAGTGGCAAGGTAGATTAGGGAGGTAGGATTCAAGTGGGTAGGATTCAATAGGTGGCCAAGAAGAGGAAAGGTGTTCCAGAAGTCAGACACCACTTGAGCAAAGGCACAAATAAGCAAGGGGGTTACTGGAGTGGAGGGCATATACTAGGGAGTACTGGGAAATAAAGTTACAGGAGTGGAGGGAGGGCCACATAGAAGAGGGTCTTAGTGACTGGTCCTGAGATGCCAGAGGAGCCCCTGTTGAGCTGACTGTTGTGCAGAGACAAGACTGACCGAGAGCTGGGTTTGCAGGAGCCACATCTGACAGACATGGAGTGTGGGACTGCCCAGCTTGGAGCCTCGGTGACCATGGGTGGCCACGGTATCGGAGCAAGTGGTAACGCTAAGGCGAGGCAGAAGAGGAAGGATGCAAGTGCCATTTCAGAGAAGCAGACAACAGAAGTTGCTGACAGACTGTATAAAAGCAGTGCAAGGAGAGGGAGAGTGAAAGGAGAGTGGCGTGTTGAGTTGGGGTGAGGGCAGGGAAATGCGGGAGGTGGACTCCCCCACCCAGGCTTCCCAGCCCCCCCTTCTTTCCATCAGGCACTTAGCGGTGATGTTTTGCTTAAAGGCGTTTTCTCCTGTAAAAATAAACCATGTTAGGGCACTGGCTTCAGGGGACTGTGAGGTTCTGTAGCTGGTTGATTCTCATTGTTAGATTCCTCATGGAGACTGTTGAATAACCTTTGTTGACTGAAAGATTGACAGTTGATGGGCTGGCCAACCTGGGACGGAGACCATCTGGGGATGAGGTATCACTTGCCTGTTAGTCACTGTCCCGTGTCTTGTTCCTGTTTGTGGACGTTTTCAGGGGCCTCTGCCTTGTCCACACAGTGTCCTGTGACTGCTTTAAGGGGTCAG